TTTTTTTTTTTTGAGATGGAGTCTTTCCTCTGTCTCCCAGATTAGAGTGCCATGGCATCAACCTAGCTCACGGCAACCTCCAACTTCTGGTTTAAGCAGTCCTCCTGCTTCAGCCTTCCAAGTAGCTGGGACTACAGGGGCTCCCAACTACACCCAGCTTTTTTCTATTTTTAGTAAAGATAGGGTCTTGCTCTTGCTCAGACTGGTCTCAAACTTCTGAGCTAAAGCAATCCACACACCTCAGCTTCCCAGAGTGGTGGGATTATGGGTGTGAGCCATCACACCAGCCTCATGACACATTGTTTTATGAAAAGGGGGAATTTGGACACACAGACACAGACATATACTGAAGGAAAACGACAAGTTGACACACAGAGGACCATATCCATGAATCAAGGAATGCCAAGCAAACCAGGAGTGGGAGAGAGGCTTGGAGCAGAATCCCCCTCACAAGGAATGAGGAACCAGCCCCAAGGTATTCAAACTTACTGACACCTTGCTCTCCTACTTACACACCTGTGAGACAATAGATTTCTGCAGTTAAAGCAGCCCAATTTGTAATCTTGGGAAACAATACAACCCCCCCCCATGCTTTATTGATATTCAGCCAAATAATTCAAATTTCAAATACAAGGAGGAGGCCTCTAGAATCTGCAAGCAAATGCAAATGTTCAGAGGGGAGAGGGCTTTCTGATGAAGAACCCAGAACTTAAAAGCACCTTAGAATACATCCCACCCCCACTCCTCAGATTGGCAGGGACCCTGCCTGTACAATCTGGGACAGACACTTAGGAGCCCAGCCATTGGCAAACTGCATACTGGCTGCTGACAGCACCAACACTCAGCCACGTGGGTGGGAGGTGGAGGGCTCCCCGGTGACCTATGAAAACATGGGAGGAAACACATTGTCTCCCAACAGTAAACCTTAAGACCTTGGATCAGGAAAATGTCTATTTATTCCAAAAAATACCAAGTCACAGCTCCCCCGGTTGTACTTACCAGGGATAAGGGGGAAAGGGGAGGGGAGGGAGGCACAGCTGTGGAAGGTCTTCTGGTCTGGAACTGTTTCTCTTCTCTTTCAGAACTGTCCAACACCCACAGTCCCCCAACCAGAAGGGGAGATGTTTGCATGATTTGAGTGTGTGTGTGTGCCCGTGCACACGCATGTGTGCGCGTGCATTTATGGGGCAGGGGCAGAGGAAGACTCAGATGGCAAGGTCCTAGCTCGGGAAACATGGAGGGGGGACTAGCAGGACACTCCCCACTATTAGAGCTCTCCCCACTATGGCTTATTTGAGATCAAATCAAGGCCCCAGGGTCAGGCACCCTGTGTCAAGTGAATGGGGGCAGGGCAGGTAGGGGATTCCTAGGATCCAGGCTGGGAGAGCAAGTGGAGGGCAGGCATACAAAAGCTGAAAGGCCTCAAGCCCCCACATTTCTGGGGCTGGAGAAAGCTGAGTGTCCCTGGGGGTGTTGAGCAGAGAGGAGGGGGTGGGTGCTTGAGCTGGCTCTTTTCTGGAGAAGTCTCAGTCTGCCTGAGCTCTGCTGGGCTTGAGGAGGCCCTAGAAGGGGTAAGGGGAGCCCCTTGGAGCAGCTAGAAGCAATGGGGTTGAAAAGCTGGCACAGGGCCCAGGTAGATTGGGGTAGCCAGCCCCCCAGTTTCCTCAGTGTGGTGAGAGCCAGCTATCTGCCCCAGACTCCTGACAAGGAAGGGTAAGCTGAGATGCTAGTATTAGGGGGGAGACATAAGAGGGAGGGGGGCGGCCCAGGGGAAGGAGAAGAGCCCCCCACCTCGCCCTGGGGGCTGGGGGAGGGGGCATGTAGCCCTTTGAGAGTGGGAGAATGGCCGCCCCCCACAACATGGCTATGTACAAAGAGGACTGGGGGTAGATTGTGCAATGGGGACAACATGTGTTAGGGAGAGGGAGCCCCTGGAGTGTTAGGGTGTTAGGGAGAGAGGTGAAGAGCACTCCTGGCACCGCGGAGGGGGCTGGCAGGTGCTGCTGTCCTCCAAGTGTACCTGCCCCACGACTAGGCCCACAGAAGACAGCATCAAAGGCTCCAGGTCAGTCATCAACTGTCCGTCCTTCCTGCGGTGGTTGGTGTCTCTAAGGAGAGTGTGGCCTGAGCCCGTGCAGTGCTCAGGCTGATGGGGTTCCAGCCCTCACTTGGGGGTGAGAAGGCTGGACGAGGCCACACCTGTGGTGGAGTTGATCCAGGCATCATTGTAGTTGGGAGTGAGGCAGTGACATAATCAAGGTCTGGAGTGCGGGTGATGTCATCAAAGGGGGACAGCTGGCTCTTCCCCAGTCTATTTTGTGGGAACGTGAAAAGGGCATGTTGTGCTGGTTCCCCTCATGGGAACAACTGTAAGTGCCATGGCACCCTAGAGGACAGCTGCCACATAACCCATCGTGATATACCTGGCCCCTAAGATAATAGATCCTGACAGGTGATGGCACATGGCTGCAGTAGATCTGGGAGGTGATGACACAAATGGCTCTTATGGATCCCGGGACATGAAGACACCATGGTTGAAGTAAGTGCCAGGAGACGAAGACATTGGTGGCTCTAATGGATCCTGGCAGGTGACAGCACATGATTAAAATGGATCCTAGGAGTTATGACATCATAACAGTGGTGGATTCTGGGACATGAAACACATGGTTAAAGAGGATCTTGGGAGGTGACCATGGCTCAATCTTGGTGGGCGATGACACCACAATCATGAGGGATTATGGGAAATAGAGATCATCAGACCTAGTAGGTTTCAGTAGAGGATGTCACCACCAAGCACAGTGGATTCTGAAAGGTAATAACATCATTGGTCATGGTGGAATCTGAGAAAGGATGACACCATGGCTGTGGTGGATTTTGGGAGGTGATGACACCATGGCAGTGGTAGATCCTGGGAAGTAATGATACTATGATTGTGGTAGATCCTGGGAGGTGATGGCACCAAGGCTGTGGTGGATTTGGGGAGGTGATGACACCGTGGTTGTGGTGGATCCTGGGAGGTGATGACACCAATGCTGTGGTGGATTTGGGGAGATGATGCCATGATTGTAGTGGATCCTGGGAGGTGATGACATCATGCTGTGGTGGATCCTGGGACATATGGAGAATCATGGTTGTGAAGAATCATGAAAGATGATGACATTGGCTCTGGGGAATCTTGGGAGATGATGACACTATTCATCATGGTAAATGCTGAACAAGGATGATATTATAGTTGTGGTGGGTCATTGGGAATCCTGGGAAATTATGGGATCATCAGACATAGGTAACATTTGACCCAGGTATAATGCCATCAAGAGTGGTGGATGTAATGTGGCACTATTGATCATCAGAAGCTCAATAGCAGGTGCACCACAACTTCCTTTCCCAATAGGAGGCCAGGACTTTGTTGACAGAGGTGATGGTGTCTCTAGACATGGAAGAAAGAAGTGAGGCCAGGATTTGGGCCACCTATGAGTCCCATGACTCCAGGAGCCTGGTGGAGCATAGTGGCTTCCTGGGAGCAGAGGCCCATCTGGGGGTTCTGCCCCTCAGGAGTTGGTGCACGGGGCAGGACCTGAGGCCCCATCTCCTTTCACAGGGTCTGAGGAGATCCTGTCAGGCAAGTCACTGGGGTTGAGGAAGGAGCAACAGAACTGAGTCAGTGGGACAAAGCAGACTAGAACATTGCTGACAGTGATGGTGGCCAGAGTGGGCACTACCTCCAAGGAAGTGCTTGGTGATGACATCACAGTATTGGGGGCAGAGGTATTGCCACCATCAACATGCAGATGGACCCTCATCTCTGGAGGAGGCCTTTCCAAGGGGGTGGCATCCTTAGCTATGCCCTCCTCAGAAGACACCTCGCATGGGGCACTTTCTCTGGCATCTTCCCCAGGGTGGTCCTGGACTCTGAGCATGCCCTGCCTTCTTAGGACACAGCAGCAGCAGTGGAGGTGTCACCTTGTGTCATCTCAGAGCATGTAGCATCTGGTGGTGACATCATAGAAGGGGCTTCATCCTGGAGAGGTTCCAGAGGAGGTTGTTATCTCTGGTGATGACATCACACAAAGAGGCACGGTCCCTCTGATGAAGTCATAGGGCAAGGCAACTTCTCTAGTGATGGCATCACAGGAGGAAGGCAGGATCCCTGTGACAATGATGTGGAAAGGGCCTTATCGCTAGTGAGGACACAGTAAGGTATTCTCTCCTTCATTGTGTCCCAGGAAGATGGCTTTGTCTGAAGTGATGACATCAGAGGACAGAGGCATCTTCTTTGCAGTGAAGACACATGAAGAAAATAATTTCCTCCATGACTATGATGCCAAAAGAGGCCTTGGAGTTAGAGAAGACAGCACAGGGGTGAGACTTGTCTCTATAGTGACACCATGGGAAGGAATCTTTGTTTCTTAAGGATGATGTCACAGGAGAAGGTATCATCTTTGCTGTTACATCACAGGAAGGAAGTCTTTGTAATGATGCCACAGATAATAGATATGGCCTTTCTTGATGATCTCGTAGGCAGGCCTCTTCCTCTGTGATGACCTCATGGGAAGGAGGTTTTGTTGCTGTGATGACATCACAGAACACAAGACATTTCTGCTAGTGATGACTTCATGGATGGCCTTTTCTCTACTGACATCATGGGAAGGAGGCCTTAGCTCAAACAGTAATAGGAGAGGAATCTTGGCTGCCACGGCAGGCGGGAGGAAGCTGTGCCTCCGGTCCAAAGGTGGATCTAGGCCCAGGCCCCTGTGGCATGTGAACTGTGTCAGGGATCCAGGCTGGGATGGGGGGTCCCGGGAGGCTGCTGCCCCTGTCTGCACCCTGGCCTCAAACGGTCACTTCGTTCTTACTGGCAGTGCGCAGGTGCTGGGGCAGGTGGTGGCCAGGAATGAACTGCAGCTGCTCCAGCGTGCCCTGGCGCTGGAAGGGTGGCCTGCGCGCCAGTGTGCCCCCGCCCCCGCCGGCGTCGGACATCCAGGCGGGCTGCGGGGAGCCGTGCAGGGCATGGTGGTGGTGGGCGTGTAGGCCAGACGAAGGCAACCCGTGCAGCGGCGTGGGGGGCCCTCCGGGCCCCAGCAGCAGGTTAGAGTGCGAGGCGGCTAGGCCGGCCCGGGTGGTGGGGTCGGGGGGCAGCGCGGGGCTGCGTGGGGGTGACAGCAGGTGCTCGCGACTCTGGCGCAGGGCCTCAGGCGAGGACAGCAGCAGGTGCTCCTGCGACACGAGGCGTGCGCGTGGCAGCGTGAACTCGTAGCGTGAGGCGCGGCCCCCGTCGCCCAGCAGATGCTCCTGGGACATGACCCTCCGTGGGTTGGGCGCAGGCGCCAAGCCCAGTTCCTCGGGGCCGCCCCAGCCATCCATGCGGTAGCCGCCCCCAGTCCCTGGTCGCCGCAGCGCGTGCAGGGGCAGCGTTCCACGGGGCATCTCCGCCAGGTGCCGGCGCTTCAGGTAGGCCTCGTCCAGATCCTTCTCAGCTACGGGGAGAAGGGAAAAAGTCATAGAAGGGGTCTGCTGCCAGCCCAGAGCCTTCCTGTACCACTGTCTTCCTTATGCCTTCTCCAATCCTGCACCTTCCTCAGCGAGGATCCCAAGCATCACCCAGGACGCCCTGGTCACCAGCCTGCGTTGGACGAGTGATTCCCAAATTTTAATCAATCAGAATCGCCAGCCTAGCTACATGACCAACAAGCAGATTCCCTGACGTAACGCGCAATGCTGGGCCATGGAGGTGGGGGAGTTCCTTTTTTCTCTCCCTACCTCCAAGTATACCCAAGTTTTGCTTTCGAGGAACTACTGATCCTTCCTTTCTATACTGTAGCAGTGATTTTCTTTTCTTTTTTTTTTTTTTTTTTGAGACAGGGCCTCAAGCTATCCCCCTGGGCAGAGTGCCGTGGCATTACAGCTCACAGCAACCTCCAACTCCTGGGCTCAAGCGAGTCTCCTGCCTCTGCCTCCCAAGTAGCTGGGACCACAGGCGCCCGCCACAACGCCCGGCTATTTTTTGGTTGCAGCCGTCATTGTTGTTTGGCGGGTCCGGGCAGGGGATTCGAACCCGCCACCTTAGGTGTATGTGGCTGGCGCCTTAGCCGGTTGAGCTATAGGCGCCGAGCCAGCAGTGATTTTCAAACTTGGAGTTGTGACCCATTGGTGGATTCTAAAGTCGATTGTGGGGGTAATGGCTAGCATTTTGAAAATGAAATTAAATAGAAAACTATGAGAAAGTGTCCATATAATAAGGGAGTAAGTGCAATAAGTGCATAAAATGTTATTTCAGATATGTTTGTGATTGAAATATTAAAAAGATAAAATGACATATTATCTGGGATTTGTTTTATTTGTTTATTCAGAGACATAGTCTCACTTTTGTCATCCTCGGTAGAGTGCTGTGGCATCATAACTCATAGCAACCTCAAACTCTTGGGCTCAAGCAGTCCTCTTGTCTCAGCCTCCTGAGTGGCTGGGCTCTCACTCTTGCTTGGGTGGTCTTCAACACCTGCGATCAAGCAATCCATCTGCCTGGGCCTCCCAAAGTGCTGAGATTATAGGGTGAGCCACAGTGCCTGGCCCTGGGATTTGTTTTAAAAGAATTAACCAAAAGATGGGGTAAACTAGAGGATAGAGTAACAAAATGGTGCTCGTTGTGAAGGCTGGATGATGAGAACATGGGGCTTATTTTATAATTTTCTCTACTCCTGTGTATGCTTAAAATGTGGACAATAAATTTGAAAGCTTTTTCTATAATTAAAAAAATGTATAGGGTGGCACCTGTGGCTCAAAGGAGTAGGGCGCTGGCCCCATATACTGGAGGTGGCGGGTTCAAACCCAGCCTGGGCCAAAAACTGCAAAAAAAAAAAAAAAAAGTATATATGTGCATCTCATGGGTAATGATATAAAAAGCATTTCTTTCTTTCTTTTCTTTTTCTTTTGAGACAGGATCTCAAGCTGTTGCCCTGGTTAGAATGCCATGGCATTACAGCTCACAGCTTCAAACTCTTGGGCTTAAGTGATTCTCTTGCCTCAGCCTCACAAGTAGCTGGGATTATAGGTGCCCACCACAATGCCTGGCTATTTTTTATGTTGCAGTTGTCATTGCTGTTTAGCAGGCCCCAGCAGGGAAGGGGGGGTGTGGGTGTTCCAACCCACCAGTCTTAGTGTATGTGGCCGGTGCCCTACCTAGTGAGCAACAGGGGCTGCCCTATTTTGTGAATTTTTTTTTCCTAAGTAT